ACACTGAAAAAAATAAATTGTAATGATAACCAGAATATGATTGCTACTACCAGAATTTTCGGTTGCTCCCATGACAACAATGTGATTAGTTAAAATTACTAGTTCCATTTGGTTAACTGAGTTTGTAGCGGTTACAGCTAAGTTATGTTATAGATGGGTATCAATAATGTAGTGAATACCAAACAAATTTTTACCACAACTATTTGTTTTTGTAGACCGTATAATACCTATATGTATCTACAAAAATATGATTTGTTGTAGATACCTATTAGTTTGGTTGATACAACAATAAAATGTAAATTCAATCATGTATAGTTTAGTGTTTGTTGTAGTTCAGTCTTTAGCCACTACAATACTTTTGTAGGTTCAACTACATGATTTAGTACTATCTACCAGTACAAGTTTTATGTTTTACAAAATATTGTGTTAACACTACTGTAGAGTTTTGTAATATTAAATGCCAAAATTTCTGGCTACTGAAAATAAAATAATATTATATTTTTTTTTTAAATAAATAAACAAAGCAAAGTATATGATAGTATAAATAATATATTTATTATTAATTAAATAATTATCTTTTATGTACATTTACAGTCAGATTAGCTCAGTATATTATTATACTAAATATCATAAAAAATAAACTTGATTTTTATTAATATATTATATTAAATATTAACATTTATTTCCAAATATCAACAAAATATACCTAAATGCTACTTCTAACTGTTACATATTTACATCCATCGGGGAGTATATTAATATTATTTGGAATATAGGAAGGCAACATATGATGATAAACAAATTGATGACTGTTCTCTACTTTTACCTCATAAGAGAATATATGTTCATCAAACACAATTGTATCAAGTTCTAAACACTTAAACATGACATATTTATTATTATATAAAAAAATGTGCTCTATTATACAAAATTTAGGTAGTTCATTTTCTTTTATACTAAGAGTTAATACCATTTTAGGTTTGTATTTAGTACCTTTTATAGAAATCCACGGAGAATTAATTAACAAGTCTATTGAGTCAATTTGCATATTTGTCTTTATTTCTTCTAGCTCTGCATCATTTATTAATTTAGATGGTCCAATTTCAATTTCATTACTTAAAGTCCCTTTAAGGAACATATCATTTAATTGCAACTGATGCTTGATTGCTAGTGTTTTACATATATTACGCCTGTTACTTGAAGTGTTAGCAGATATTTTTGATATTCGGTGCTTTGCTTCGAATCGCATTGACCATAAAGATACAAGAGGTCCAAACTTGTTCAATAATGTATGATAATGTAACATAAAATGGTATTTTGGTTTAAGATACAGATTACTATATTTTAGATATAAATCATGGTGTTCAGCAATAAGAGTTTGTAAAAGTTCACAACTCCCTTTTTGAAGTGACGAGGAAGTTATTAAGTCAAGAATTTGTCTCAAAAGGATATAAAGGTACCAAACTGGATCATTTCTTGGAATAAAATCTCCAATGAGTAAACCAAAGTAGCGGACTAATGTCATCATTTCAGATGCAGATTGGCGAATAATGTGCTTACGAATATTTTCTATATTTAATACTGAAGGCTTGTTGCCATTATCTGGCCCATAATCAAAATTAACCATTCGGTCATTGAGTACTTCCAAGGAGAACAGTTTTAAATCATTAACATAATAGAACACTAAAAAGGCCATATCATATTTACAAACCCCTTCTAATAGATCATGCATTATGTCTACACCAACTTGATCTAATACTCTAAAATGTTTTACATCATGCCAAACACAAGCCTCTTTTATACCACTTCTAGCAACATCACCTTCACTTACATCTAAGGTATATTGTTCCCAACTTCTTTGTAAGGTTATATCAACATAGCATTGCTTTCTCATATTATCTTCCTTTTTAATTTTACACATTCTGCAAGGGTAATTAGATGAAAAACTTTCCACAAAACCAGTTATACTGTGAACTCCCAGGTTGTCCCCTATAATGAGACCTAATTCAAACTTAATATTTCCTTCAAACTTATCAGTATTAACCTCAATACCAGTTTCTTTTAAGTAGTTTAATTCATCAATAAGCGGTCTAAATATAATGTTATTTCCAAATTGTTGTCTATCAGAAGAATGAAACAATAGAGTTAAAAATATATTATTCAGTGAAGCTTGACGATGAATAGGTATACAAGGAACAGTTAAGTATACAGCACCTAATTTATGTATACCAGAATGACTTCCTAAAGGATTCCCTACCTCATAATCATCAAAAAATAGAAATATTGGTAATACCATTTGATTTTTATCATGTTCTTTAGTTTTATTTTGCCAAAGGCTACCTTGAATAAAATTCATTAAAATGGTATCACAGCTTTTTATTTCATTCATATAATCAAAAGTGTCTGATAGAATATCTTTTAGTTCAACAATTTTTTTTAAAACATGTCTTGTTGGGATAAATTGAGCTGTACAATTAGTTGGAATAATTGAAAACGTATTTTTATTTTTATTATTATTAAGTCTCTCTCCAACAACATACTCTTGAGGTGGTATATATGAACCCTTTTCTGTATAATATCTAATACGTTTATATTCTGTATTTAAATTGGAAAATGTTGAATCAATATTTTTAAATACAGACTCTATATGATTTGAAATATCATGAGGAATTTTCAAATTGCAATTTAATAATGAATTTTTTATACCTTCAATTATATCTGCCATGCCTTCAATAACTAATTGAATAACATTACGGGGAATTTGAGCATTGGAGTACAAAGAAGCTAAAAATTTTCCTATATGGTTATCTGTTAAACGAAGATCATTAAAATTATCTAATGCAGTAGCTGAGTTAGGCATTTCGGCGAAAATGTGGAATGGGTTAATACTACTTTTACTATTTTTATCAGGACACAAATTAATATCAACACTAGTAACAATATTAGATTTATCTATAACTGTAGGTATTAATGCATCTGTGAGATGAGTTGCTAGATGTTTTTTAAACGAATTTAACAAATGAAAAGATCTATTGCAGTTCAACTCAACACAGGTATATTCTTTAAAATCATGAGTTACATGTTTAATCTGAAAGTGTTTACACAATTCTGATATTAATAGGAAGGATTCTTTACATATAAAACAAGAAAACATGTTAAAAACTTAGAAATGAGATATTATTAGATAAAAATTTTTATTTAATCTAAAAATTAAATATTAAATAATTTATAACTATGGTGTCACAATAGTATCATACATTCCTATATCGCTAAACAAAGAATTAACTGATACAAATTCTGTATCCCAGGCAGTATTGATTTGATAAAAACCTTTTTGAACAAATGACCAAACTGGGATGCTCTCTAATGAATACTCTAAATTTAATGCGTGTATTACTTTGAAACAACAATCGACTGATGACAGTATAGAGTTTAATACATAGTACGTACCATCGACATACACAAAATACTGAGTTATTTCGTTTATATTTGGCCCAACTATTATAACCAATGGCTGCAATGTTAATCCAAGCTGTGAAAACTTATGTTTTCTTCGTGTTATGGTTTCTTGAAGTTCAGAATGAGATTTAATATGAGTGATAAACCCATCCTTCATTTCATTTTTTGATGGTTTCCACGTCGACTTTCCTCTTTTTCTTTTTGTTGGAACTGCACTGAATAAGAATGGTAAAACTAAAAATGCAGCCACAGATGAAGCTTCTTCACTTTCTGAAAAATAAAAATAATCATTATAAATATATAAAATAGAAATCATAAAAATGTATGAAATAGAATTATATTACTATACCAGGTGCTAGGTCTAAATATTCTTTTAATACGCATTTAAGTGAATTATCTCTTAATTTATTAGATACAATTTTTGCCTGCTCTAAGATCTTTTGTTTGTAAAGTGGAAAGGTTTCAAAAAGAGTTTCTTTTTTTTGTGGATATAAAACATTGAAATCTTCTATCAGCTAAAATTAATTAAAATTAATAATTTCTTAATAATATTAACCTAGGTATATTTAATTTATATTTTAATTTTCAACTTACAAGTCTATAACCTGATGGTTTTTTTAGTGCAGGAAAGTCATTCATATATTTAGAAACCGTATTTTCGTGAGAGTTAGTGCTTAATATTTTTTCTAACCGCTTTAATGATGTTAATGACCAATATCGTTCGACCATGTCCCACGGATCACATGAATTGTGAAGCCATGTCATGGATTCTTCAACATCATCATTAACTAAAATCAATTTAAATAATATATATATCATACTTACAAAATTATATAAAATACAAACTTACTAATATTAGAATGACTAGGAGACAAAAGTAACACCGATTTTGACTCAATACGTGGTTTTTGTCTTTGAGAACCAACAATAAGACCAGCTTTTTTATACTCCCTCTTGCGATTGTTGAAACAGTCCAATAATTTTCCTTTAGCTGCTTTCTTTACAAAAGGACCTTTAGTGATAAAAATATGAACCCTTGTAATATTTACAAATAATAATTACATTTTCATTCAATTTATTACTTTACCATAGTTCATGTAAGGAATAAAATAAGTACTAATGTGTTCTTTTGTAAATACTTCAGTAATTTCATGTGCGAGGAAAAGCAATCTTTGGGTTTTAACTGGTTTTTCTGGATTATCTTGTAGTTCTCTTCTAACAATTAAATTGCATAGCTTTCTTCTTCCAGCATTATCTAGTACATCTTTATATGCAGACAAAATTGATCTACCTTCTGTTGTTGTATTCAAAAAATCCAGAAGTTTGGGATTCTAAAAAATTTTATTCACTACTAGGTTAAAAAGTAATAAGAATTAATATCAAAATTACCTGTTCAGCACTATCATCAGTGGATGTTGTTACGGTTGTTGTACTTTGCGATGATGTAGATGACTCGTCACTGTTCAAATTTTTTTCTGGTTGTGGTGTTAAGCATGACGTATCTATGTTAAATTCAGATACAATATGTTTTTGTGATGGAGATAAAACACTTATGTCCAATTGGTTTATTTGATAATTACTTAGGTCCTAAAAAAATATTTTATAATATAGTTGTAAAAAGTCTTTAACAAAGGAAATTGATCTAAGAATTGTTATAAATTTATAAAATATAATACCTTATAAGAAGTAACTAATAGGCAAGTAGGTACTATTGAGTAGTATATATTTATAATAACATTTGGATTAATAGCATTTATTTTATGGGTGACTTGCAACTAATTTTGAATGCTTACCATGTAATCAGTTTTATTGTTTGTTAGTTCAATTACTTTTCGCCATTCACTAAGATTAGTAATAAGTTTAGCTCTGTCACCAATTTTAGGCACAATTTCTTTTATCATTTCTTCAGTAAGCATGGTTAAGCAAGAAATATCAATGCCGTGTTCTAAGAGTGCAATTATCATGAAAAGTGTCACAAAATTTAATGCAATTAAAATATTAATATTAAAAGCAGTACTGCAGTGTTACAAAAGCTTTGTGTACATTTTAAATTTATAATATTTAATTAAGAAGATTATAAAATACGTATAATTAAAATACATACCACGGAATATTTCGACATAATGTTCAAGTTGCCATGCACATAACATATCAGCTACATCTGCATCCACCATATTATTAAACGTTGAAAAAGACTTGAAATTTAAACACTGAATGTTCAAATAAACTTAATAAACACGTGTCATTACGGAACGAATTACGTATGAAAAGTTACACTTGAAATACAAGACAATGCACAAGAGTAAAAGTAAAATGGAAACCACAAACTGATACAGAGAGACAGCGGTCGCCGGGCACCAAATAATAAGTACTCAGTAGTGTTTACAATCTTGTTTAGTAGCAAGTACACTATTTTGGCTATTAATATCATGTATTTGTTATCACTACGGTTGATTTAGTTATACTATACTAATATTAGTAAGCACAACTAAAATAATGCTAACAACATAGATTATTTAATTGGAAAAACCAATCATAACGATATCGTCTATAGAAGGTATTGTAGTGATTACAAAACAGAATGGTTGTAGTCGTGTAATTTGTTTAATAACTATTATAATTTATAGCCAAGTTGGTGAGCGCAATAGAAAATATTGATTACAACAATATTGTTCTGTATCTATTACAATAATATAATTGTTACCGCTATATTAAACACCAGGTTGATTCAACATAGGTGTAATAAAACAAGTACAAAATCGTAGAGTAAAAATTACCAAATTCTAGTTGAATTAACCAAAATACTGTATACATTTTTTTACTTAATAACGTTAACAATTTAGTTGTTGTTTTAAACATTAGTTTGGTTAGATCGAGAAATTAATAAATTACAAAATAAGATTTGTAGCTGCTCTTGTACATGCTGGTTTTTACAACCTAAATTTATGTACTGGTTATTATATTCTTGTTGTCTCTACATTAAAACATTTAACTTAACTGTTCTGTTAAAATCTATTCGATTATTTTTTTCCGTG